ACTTGGCCCACATTCTGTGAGTGAGAGAGTTTTTAAAGCTGCTTTGAAAAATGAATCTGTTCTGCCACCAACAAGCTGGTGGTTAGTAGATTGCACAAGAAGTCATTCCATATTACTGCAGAACTTCTGCTCACAGTGGCAGATTACAATAACTCTTAGCACAGCATATCTGAGCTGAGTAAGGGGACCGTGGCCAGGCCTTCCTCTCTGCGAGGGGTGGCCCACTCAGACTGGAAAAGATAGGTCTGAAGAATGTAGTCCTGGAAAGCTGCCTGTGGTGCTTTGTGATCTGAAAAATTAATCGGCAATTTCTAGGAAATAGTTTGTTTTTGGAGGGATGTTATGTTAGCAGTTTTGTGTTGCCAGCTCCATATATCACAATGTGCAAGTTTTGAATCTATTTAACCTCTCCCTCCTCTCTCTCAGCTCTGTTCCATGCTATGAATCACTCTGCAGCTCCCCAAACAACCCCTGCACCCTGTTTCTCCAGATAGAGTTTATTGCTTTTTTGGGTTTGGAGAAGCGTTCCTGTTTAGGGTCTACCTTAGGGGTGGGGAGGGAACTTCTTTGTCTAAGTTCCCCTTCTGCTGTTGGGCTCAGTTGTTTCAATGGGGTGCAGAATGAAGAATGGCTGAAGACTAATTAGCTGTGACAGGGTCTGGCTGCCGCCTGGATTCTGACCTGGGTTTGTCTTCTCCTCAGAGAGCGCTGGCTCGCAGTCTGAATTGGATTAGGTTTCATAGTTACACCATTTCCCCAGAGCATTGAACTGTGAGGTTTGATGGTGCAGCGAGTGAGAGCGAGAGTGAGTGCTGTGAGTGAGTCTCTCTGGCTGCTTTGTAAGGCGCAGAGGGTGGGGGGTGGTGTTCGATTTCACTTCATGTATTGTGAGAAAAAGACCAAGGTGCATGTTTAGGTGGGGTTCAGTTGCTTGTGAAGACTGTTAAGAAAGTGAGGCTGTGTCCCTTTAAGTTTCAGAATGCTCCTGGCTCACAGCCCATCCCAGGGAAGTTCTCATATTCTAGCGCCCGTAGCTCATAAGGCAGCTGCTTGCATGGCAGTGGCATTAAATATCGAACCCAAGGACGCACACTGCAGCTTAGCCTTGTTTGGCTTTCCAGCAGCCCCTGCCGTGGTTCCTGGCCAAGGAGACCCCTGTGCATGCAGCACACAGGGAGGCCCTGGAATATTTTGGCCCAGCTGTAACACTTGTCCACATAGCTATGTCTCATTTACACTCTGACTGTCACACTTTACTTCAGCCTAAGAAGGCTTGATCCTTTGACACGTTTCCCCATTTCAGAGCCTGAAAAAGAACCTGTTTTCCCCTTGGCAAGATTTTAAAAAACCCCAAACTTTCTGCAAAAATAGCTGTGTTAAACTCATATGCTCTGGCCAACTTCCAACTTAGATAATTTTGCTCCACTTCCTGCTCCACTTCCTGCACTACCCTGCACAGTGTCAAATGCATATGCTAGCCTTTCTCCCTTACTGTCCTGGACTGAGGAGTGCTGTTTTGCATGGTTAAGCAGCTCTTGTGTTCTACCCCAGAGACCTGAGGGGTATCCAACAGAATATGTTGAGACCCCAGTGTCTAAAACAATCCATCAGATTTGACTGTAGCCTGCAGCACCTGCCTTTCCTCGAGCTGATGACAGGTGGTGCCACCCTCCTAAAAAGCCCTTTGTTTCGTTTTCCAGCCATTCTGAAACCACACACACCTGCCCTCCTGCTACTGAGGGGAAACCCATTACAATGCTGTGCAAGGGCAATACGGTGACATCATTTTTTATTTATGGAGTAAGAGGGAAAGTCCTCTCATGCACGAGTAGCTGGTTAAAAGACAGGAAACAAAGGGTAGAAATAAATAGTCAGTTTTCAGAATAGACTGAAGAAAATAGGGTGTCCCCAAGGTCAGTACTGGGACTAGTGCTGTTCAACACATTCATAAATGATCTGGAAAAAAGGGTAAACAGTGAGTGGCAACATTTGCAGATAATATAAAACAACTCAAGATAGTTAAGGCCCAGGCAAATTGCAAAGAACTACAAAAGACCTCACTAAACTGAGCGACTGGGCAACAAAATGGCAGATGAAATTCAGTGTTGATAAATGCAAAGTAATGCACATTGGCAAACATAATCCCAACTATACAAAATAATAGGGTCTAAATTAGCTGTTACCACTCAAAAAAGAGATCTTAGAATCATGGTGGATAGTTCACTGAAAACATCTGCTCAGTGGGCAGCGACAGTCAAAAAAGCAAACAGAGTGTTGGGAATCATTGGGGAAAAGACAATAAGACAAAGAGTATCATATTACTTCTATATAAATCCATGGTACGCGCACGTCATGAGTACTGCATGCAGATGTGGTTGCCCCCATCTCAAATATATAATGGAATTGGAAAAGGTTCAGAAAAGGGCAACAGAAATTATTAGGGGTATGGAACAGCTTCCATATGAGGAGAGATTATAAAGATTGGGACTTTTCAGTAGAGATGTAAAAGGTTAACTGGTTAACCAGTAAGCTTCACCCTTAATGGGTGAGGTTTACTGGTTCCAGTCAACTGGTAGGGGCTGGAGCAACTTCCTGCCTGTCCTGGGAAGGGAGCTGCTTCAGCCCTGCAGGGCCTTCCAGAGCAGCCCCTGTCCATGGCAGGCCAGGACAGTGCCTCCCTTTGCCCCCACCACAGGTTTCACGCTGGCTCCCCAGGAGCTGGCTGCAGAGCCCCCAGCGAAGCCTCCCTGAGAACAGGCCCGGCAACGGCAACTGGTCCCTCTCCTGAGGAGATTTCACTGTGGGCTGTGCAGTGTAAAGCGTAAACAAGCTTTATACTGCAAAGCCTGCAGCGCGTGTAACCTATAACTGCTATTTTTAGCTGTCACACAGTTACATTTTTAGCCACATTTTTATCTCCCTAATTCTCAGCTTGGAAAAGAGATGATTAAGGGGGAATATGATAAAGAGCTATAAAATCATGGCTGGTGTGGAAAAAGTAAATAAGGAAGTTATATCTACTCATCATAATGCAAGAACTGGTGGTTACAAATGACCTTAGAAGGTAGGAGATTTAAAGCAAACAAAAGGAAGTTTTTCTTTACACAACACACAGTCAGCCTCTGGAACTTCTTGCCAGAGGATGTTGTGAAGACTTGAGAATATAACAAGGTTAAAAAAGAGAGGGTATGTCTACACCAGCCCCCTAGTTCAAACTAAAGAGGCTAATGAGGGTGACCGAAATTGCAAATGAAGCATGTTCCCGGGCGGTCGCCATTCCATGAGGTTTAACTGTTAATTCAAAGTAAAGGGTTTATTTCGGAATTGCCCTTCTCTGCCGCGTGTAGACACGGGCAGTTCTTCCGGGTTAGTCAATTTCCAAAATGGCGACTGCCTGGGAACATGCTAATGAAGCGCGGGATATTTAAATCCTGCGCTTCATTTTCAATTTCAGCCATCCTCATTAGCCTCCCTAGTTTGAACTTGGGGGCTAGTGTAGAAATAGCCAGATAGCCATTGATGGACCTAACCTCCATGAATTTATCTATGAGCCAGTATGGGCAGGGATGGTGACCCTAGCCTGGGTTTTGCCAGAAGCCAAGAATGGGCCATAGGGGAGGGATCACTTGATGATTTCCTGTTCTGTTCGTTCCCTCCGGGGCACCTGGCATTGGCCACTGTTGGAAGACAGGATACTGGGCTTAGACGGATTTTTGGTCTAACCAGGCATAGCCCTTCTTATGTTCTTATATGTAGCTCTCCCCCTTGAAATCAATCATTCATCCCAATGATAATGGTTCTGCAGAACAGTAAGGGCTCACAGTGACATCTATGCTACTCTAGTCTTTTCAGTGGCATTGCACAGGTATAAATGGGGGCATAATTTGAAGCTGGCAGGGTTGGTTCTGCACATGGAATTCACTGACGAGTTGTGTTAATGAAGCGCAGGAAGGACTAGACTCCAGCTCCCTCTCTTTGAGTCATACTGGCTCTGCACAGAGAAAAGGACTGCAAAGCAATAAAAGCCCTATTTCCTCCGTAAGTGCAGCAGCTCTTACTCTCCTACATACAAGGAGCAGCTCTGGGGTGGAAAAGAGACCACAGATCCTTTTCAGAGCAGAACCACACTTCAAAGCGAGGGAGCCAAAGGTTGCTTACGGTAGCTTATTATGCTCACTTCTCCACTCCATCCCCTGCAGGTGACATTGACAGCAGAGACTGACTGTAGTTATATCTCCTGGCCCCGGAGAAAACTCTACCTCCTTCTGGCAAAAGATCGCTATATCGCCCGCCTCTTCTCGGCCTTCCTTGGCTACGACATCTCGGAGAAGCTGTACGCCCTCAACGATAAGCTCTTCGCTAAGTTCGGCCTGCGCTTTGACATCCGCTTACCTAGCCTCTATCACGTCCTGGGACCCGCCTCCTCAGAGGCTGAGGTAGAGAAGCTGCTGGAAGAGTGTGAGGAGCGGACCGTGCCCCATCATCTGATGCCCACCTTTGTCCAGACAGCGGCCTCAGCCCCTCTTCCTCCTGCTGCGCACCCCAAGGTGTCCTGGCCTGACAGTGCCCTGCTGGGTGAGGACTCTACCAGTCTTGTGTTGGAAGATTTTGCTGAGTTGTCGGGGTCTTTTATGGACTATGTGAGCGAAGGGGAGTATATGAAGTGAGGGCACTTCTAACATGGGCACACGTCACCCTGTGTGGGATCCCCATGTAAGTACTCGCTTGCCTGCAGAAGGGAACACTTCCCTCTGTGCCTGGAGATGATGGCTAATGGGACTGGTTGTTGTGCAAGGCTTAGCACTAACACTGCCTGGGGGAGGTGAGGGCTAATGGGTCTCAGTCCTTGACCAGTTTGCTGGTGCTTTGATTCCTTGCAAACCTGGTAAATGGCATGAATCCTAGTGGCCTCCACTCAGTCTTTAGGGATTGGGCACCATGCAAACAGGCACCCAGTTGCTAGGTAGGAATAAAGAAACGAGATTTGCAGGGCTGTCCGTAGGCATGCACAGGCTACACAGATGCGTAGGGCACCACTGAATTTGGGCCACTAATCCACCAGCCCCACTCTGCCTCCCAGCCCCAGCAGTCCCAATTCCCTGGCCCACAGCTCTGGCGGGCTGCACCACTCCCCCTTCCGCCTGTTTGCCCACCAGCTTCCCTGCCCTGTTCCTGCCCCCACAGCCCTGAACATGGCCTCCTTGGCAGGGGATGAGGGTGCAGGTGCTTGGCCTGCACAGGGCACCTGAATTAATAAGGACAGCCCTGCTGACCTGTCAGTGTCATTAACTCCTGCTGGGTAGCTTCCTATCAAAATTAACTCGACCAGCACACAGCATTGGTTCATGCACAGTTTGGCTGTGGGGCATGAGCAGAATCCCAGTTTCAGGGAAACCAACCAATGGTCTTGTTACTTACCCAGAATAAATCAGCTGAGCTAATGCTGCCAGGAAAGGCTGCAAATCCTGTTGTGAAATTGCCACACTACAGCATTCTCAGTGCACTTCCTCATCCGAATTTCATGAGACGTGCTGCGTCGGAGGCCAGCTTTGGCCCAGCGCGCCTGCATCTATCCTCACACTGCCTTCCCCGTGTGTGACTTGGTAGACTTCAGTGGGGTTATTCCTGACTTACAGCGGTGTCGGTAAGAAGAAACTAAGGCCAGATACCAGGGCTCCAAACAAATGCACAGCAGCTAGAGAACAGAAACATTTCTATCTATAGGGCAGGGCTGTGCACCAAGATGAATTAAAGAAATGTCAGTGCAGGCTTTGGAATAGAGACTGACAGAATCTTAGGGCTGATTCTCGCCTCTGCCCTGGTCCCTGAATCGGTACCATAGTGACATATTGGTGCTGTAATGGTACCACAGCCAGCAGAGGAAAGAGTCCCCTAGTGTAGGGGTGGGTAAATACCGACCAGATCCGGTCCACCAGGGTTAGCTCCTAGTGAGCCCCTGCCTCTATGTTTACCTGCAGCTCCACAGGTATCGGACAATTGCAGCTCCTGTTGGTGGCAGATGGCCGTTCGTGGCCAATGGGAGCAGCAGGAAGCAGTGTCCCAATCTGCGCCACTTCCCGCGGCTCCCATTGGTCACAGATGGCGATCTGCGGCCAACGAGTGCTGCAATCACCTGATATCAGCGGAGGTGCAGATAAACGGCGGCCTGCTAGGGACTAACCCTGGCAGGCCACCTCTCTTTTGCTGCTCACCCCTACCCTAGTGAATTTGTAGTGAGGAGTGTAGGGTCAGCCCCATGCTGTCCCTCTTACTCAACTCAGCCAGACTGAAAGGGTTTGGCCAAAGCTCCTGTGTTCCAATAGCTGTTGTCTTAACACAGGGCTGGGTTGGCTAACAGGAGAGGAGTGGGGTGGCCAGCATGTAAAGGATCCCCCCCACCCCACATGTGTCTCATTGGCATGCACCAGGCTCTCCTGCCTCACTACTGTCACTGTGCATGGGAATAACACACTCTCTTCCTAAGCTCCTTCCCCGCACCCAATTCTTCTCTCTGCAAACGAAGCATTGCTGGGCTCCGGGGAGGCTAATGAGGACTCTGAAAGATTTGTGAACAAAAATAGATGCTGGAATAATTTTGTGCTGGAATTTCTAAGCCAAAGGGTCAAGGGTTGCATCTCAAGGCTGAGCTACATGTAGCCAGTCGCTGAAGTTTGATTCCAGTCTCTGACATGCGATAGCTATCCTTTGGCTTCCCGAGGCTAATCACCAATGGTATGTCTAGACTACATGGCTCCGTCGATGGAGTCATGTAAACTAGTTTACCCGACATAATCAATGTGGCGGGGACTTAAATAATCCCCACTTTCTTAAAATAAAAATGTCCGCCGCGCTGGGCTGACAATCAGCTGATCCGGCACAGTGCAGCAGTCTAGACGCGGATCGGTCAACAAGGGAAGCCTTTGTCAACCACTCCCTTATGCCTTGTAAAACGAGGTTTACAGGAATGGTTGACAAAGGCTTCCCTTGTTGACCGATCCGCGTCTAGACTGCCGCACTGTGCCGGATCAGCTGATTGTCAGCCCAGCGCGGCGGACATTTTTATTTTAATGAAGCGGGGATTATTTAAATCCCTGCTGCATTGACTATGTCGGGTAAACTAGTTTACATTGCTCCATCGACGGAGCCCTGTAGTCTAGACATACCCTAAGGGTACACCTACACCCCTAGGTGACGTGTGGGGAAAGGGGCATAGTGGGTCAAGTGTCTCACCCTAGATTTCTGCTAGGCTTGCAGAAGAGGGGCTCTGTCCTTCTCCCACTGAGTCTGCCCCCCTGCCTGTTCAGCCTCTCTCCCGCCACCCCCCCAGCCAGTCTTTCTCAAGCAGTGGAGTGGCCAGTTTCAGCTGCTCCCTCCCTCTCCCTGCCCAGGCCCAGCTGCCAGGGAGAGCGGTTGAACGTGCAGGGAAGAGGGCACCAGGAGATGGACAGCTCTCCTCCCCCGCAGGTAACACTTCAAGGGCAGAGAGAGTGCAGCAGTGCAGGGAGTTGTTGGGCAGAGAAGACGTGGGGTGATCATGTGTCCCCCCTCCCCCCTTTAGACTGTACCCCTGCCACACACCCAGTATGGGGAGACAGGTGGTCTATGCTTGGGGCTGTGATTTCCAGCTAGGGTAGCCATACCTACAGCAGCTTGTTTGCTGAAAATAGAGTGGTAGCCATGGGGGAGGGGATAGCTGCCCCAAGTGTGAACCTGCCATCTCAATGGGATTGCCCACAGGGAATGCAGGAAGGGCTAGCCTCACGCTGCAGCCACTCTGTTATTTTTAGCACACTCGCTCCATCGAAACCAGCTTGTATGTGCCTGCCCAAGCTGGAACACACTCCTCCTGCTGCAGTGTCGCCTTACCCCCCGGGCCAGCATGCTGGTCACTGCATTTGTGTCTGGCAACTGTGCACAATAGCTGCCCTCCAAGGCCAGATGCTGCATTCCAGTACTTGGGTTCTGTGCTCTGAGGGCCACTCGCTGCCATCCAGTAGTCAGTCATTTGATTTCAGTGCTAGTTCTGGCCTGACGTGTAACTCAGCGGATCCAGTGCAAGCTGTGATGGTGATGGTACAGCCTCGTGAAAATAATCCTCAGAGATCAGACGGTTGCTTTCATTTGCAGAAGAACTGTGTGGTGGGGTAGGGAGGCTATTCTGACCCAATTTTTTTACGTCTTTTCAAAAACCAATTGAGGACAACTGAGACTGTATATGACATTTTCCTGGTTTACCAACCTTACTTTGAATGTCTGAGCCAAATGCGTATTTTTTACCCTCCATACAATGCCTCTGAGGCTCCAGTGTTGGAAAGGGGCTTTGTGGTGCCCATTTTTGCTTCTTTAAGTTGGATTAAAAACACCTGCAACAGCTTTGTCAAAAACCACTAACCCACAAGCTCAAAACCCAAATAAAGTTTATTCCTTTAGGTGTGTTTTTTTTTTCCAGCTTAGAAGTTTCAGGAATAGTGAGTCTGATATTCCTTGTTTTTGTTGAAGGTTGTTCTGGAGGATGTGAAGTGGATTTGAGGCTTTCTCAGTGATTAATTAAAGAGGCAAGACTGCTGAATTTTTCACAGAAGGGCTTTTCTTTTACCTGTCCGGCATTTGAGTTAAATAGGTGTAATGTAAAATAAAAGAAAAATCAAAATTTGAACAGTCTGAACCACTTCATTCTTCATTCAGGTATAACTTGTATGTTACCCTTCTGGAAGAATGCTGTCGTTTCTCTAGGCAGCCATAGAGCATCCTAGGATTATCAGGTTTAACAAGACTGGAATTTCCAATGTAGAAAGAAAGCAGGAAAAAAAATAAAACACATGGCTTTTTGATTGAAACCTTAGGGTATGTCCAGACTACATTGCTCCGTTGACGGAGCCATGTAAACTAGTTTACTCGGCATAGGCAAAAAAGCGGGGATTTAAATAATCCCTGCTTCATTAAAATAAACATGGCCGCCACGTTGTGCCAATGATCAGCTGATCTGGCACAGCACGGCAGTCTAGACGCGGATCTGTCGGCTGGGGAAGCCTTTGCCAACTGATCCTGTAAACCTCGTTTCACGAGGCATAAGGGAGTGGTCGGCAAAGGCTTCCCCAACTGACAGATCCGCATCTAGACTGCCGCGCTGTGCCGGATCAGCTAATAGTCGGCACAGCGCAGTGGCTATTTTTATTTTAATGAAGTGGGGATTATTTAAATCCCTGCTTCTTTGCCTATGCCGGGTAAACTAGTTGACATGGCTCCGTCGACGGAGCTATGTAGTCTAGACATACCCTTTACAGACCCTTTTTGCTCAAAAAAAGGGTGGCAAAGGGGATAAGTGGACTATGGTGAGGGACACACTAACCTATTTCTCTCTACTATTTCCCTTGAAACTTGCCAGAAGCTAAACTATCAGGCTTTGATCTTTATAAGCAAAGCATCATCAGGTGGTTTTGGTACATGAATAGGAAACCTCCAAGGAAAGTCAAGATGCAGCGGGAAGTAGTGCCGGTGACTCATTAGGGGATACCTGCTTTCTCCTCTCAATTCAAATTGTGACAATGGCCCACTATGGTATATTTATATTTTTTTAAAGCATCTATCCACTGTTGTAGGACAGGGCATCTCAAATATTTGGGAACCTCCTGTAGGATAGAAAGTGCTGTAGAGAGGTAAATTGTTCTTATCGTATTAGCTAGCTCAGCACTTGTCTTCTGAAAGAGTTTATAATTGTGACACATCAGAAAATGAGCCATACAATGACCTGGTCATGATACCCTTTCTCTGACTATTCCTATGGAAGAGATTCTGTCAAAAGAGTCAGCATATTTTTTTAAATAATTTCAAAAATGTCATTTTGCTTAGACTAATCCCTGGGAAACTTCTTTCTTAAGAAGTGGTTTTTCTCCTTTCCATTGGCCATCTGCCCTGATTATTTGTTATGTTTGTGAGGTGACTGTAGGAGTAGCTCAGTGGGCTTGTGCAATATGCATTGAGCCCAATTCTTCTTCATCTTGCGGCTTATGGAATCATTTCCACCAAGTTGGTATCTAAATGACCAGGAAGCACTTTCCATCCACTTTGCACCAGTGTAAACAATGATTCAAAGGGCTGAAGTGCCAGCGAACCATGCCCATTCTTGTGTTCTCAGAAAGTTGCTCTTGATAGCTAGGGTTTTGTAGAGAAGTGTTGCACATGAAAGCTGGGGCTATGCATGCTGATTTGCTATTGCGTGACTATGAATTACACAGATTTTACAAACTGATTTAAGAAGGAAAATGGTAGGATGCCTTGTGGTCCCCACCTGCTAGGACACTGTCTCCTGGGTAAGTTTGGCAAATGGATAAGAGCTGTGGCTACAGTAATGGCCTTTTTATTTTTCTTTTTTCTCCCACAGCTTCTGGAAGCCTTATCCGGAGTTACCCCTGTGCTCTCTTCAAAGGACGAGCCCCTCTGGCTCCCACCCAGACCCCAGAACTCTAGGGAACAAGAATCGGTTTTGATCAGGAAGACCCACACAAGTGTATGCTCACACACCTCCAGCCAGAGGGACACTCATTGACACACATTTACATATGCACTCAACACCCCCTGCCAGCACACCCAGTATACGCATGAGACTGAAGTGTGCTGGCTGGACCCCTTGCACAACACATTCTATCACCTTCCGTGGCACATGGGATGTCTGGGTGTTCCTTTTTGTAGTCTGGTCTTTCACCCCGATGGTCTGTTAACAACTCTGTTGTCAGCTCCATTAAACTTGTTGGAAAGACAGCAATGTTAGTCCATTGTGTGTTTGGATTTGATGGCAGCAATTAGAGTGATGATTCTCTAGAGTGTTCAGTGACTTGGAGCGAGAAACTGATATTCAGAGGATTTCACATGAGCTCTAGAAGCAGGGAAATGGCACTGCAGAAAGGCTCAGAGTATTTGTGTATATTAAAGGTGTGTGGAGTTTAGGTACGGGATTAATGCTAATGATACACATGGCATCCATTCCTATCTGGCTTAAATACCATGTCCAGGATTTAATGCTTTTCACTTAGGATAACCAGAGCTACGTAATGATGTATGTACCAGTTTCCGATGTTGGGAAAAGATACCATAAGGTTTTTTTTCAATCCACTTAGAATAAGGAGGAAGAGAAGAATCAGGACTGGATTTCTGTGCCCATGTGAGCTGGATCCCAGGGTTAGCCTTGAGAAAGGGAAAGGACTTAGCCTGGCTTTCTGTGCCCCTCTGGAAAGGAATGTAGGTACATCTCCTTGGAAGGAGAAGCAGAATGGGATTTTTGTGGACTCGGGGTGTCTCCACTGAGGTAGAGATGAAGAGAAGGAACAGTCAGGTCTGAGCCCTTACAAAAGGAGCTGGGAGATCAGGATAAGGAAGATGCCATATTTTAGTTAAAATCAATATGGAGATGGTAGGCAACTTACAAATACAGCAGCAATGGTATTTCCGCTGCAAGCTTACCCAGAGGTTCCATCAGTGGGGGTGTGCAGAGTGTGATAATAGTATTAGTCACCAGGGCTGTGTCTAGACTGGCAAGTTTATCCGGAAAATCATGTGCTCAGGGGCCCAAGCACCAATGGGGAAAAAACAGGGGGTGCTCAGCTAACACCAGCTACAGCTGAACAGCAAGGAACTTGGGGAGGGCAGAGAGCAGTGAGTGGCAGGTGAGCTGGGGATCTTGCAGTAAAGAAGAGGCAAAGTGGGAGCAGGGTCTACTTGATAGCTCAGGGCCCGGTTGGCTACTTTGCTGCGTGGTTTCATGGCACTGAACAGAAACCTTGCTAGGGGGAAGCCAAGAGGTCTCTGCTGGAGACCTCCTTGCTGCAGAGGATGCCTGCGTCAGAGAGAAGCAGATGCAGTGACTGGCTAGAGAGACATCTCTTTGGGGCAACAGCACAGCAGGGCTGCGATAGAGGGTTCTGGAATCTGATTCTCCTGAGGAGAAGTAGCAGAGGGGAGGCAGTTTGTGCTGCAGGGGCTGGCATGGCCCCTGGCACTGGTTAATTGCATCCTGCTTCAGTGACCCTTTGCAGGAGCATGTCTTCACCATGGCCCCCGGCCCACACTGGAATGTCTCCCGCACTTGGGGTCCTGTGGGAACAGCATGCAGCCACCTCTGTAACTGGGTGTAGGGGTCTGCTGTGCGGCCCCTTGGCACTAAACCAATCGCAGTTCTACAGGCACCCCTGGGCTACATCTACACTGGCATGAATTTCCGAAAATGCTTTTAACGGAAAACTTTTCCGTTAAAAGCATTTTCGGAAATTCATGCCAGTGTAGATGTAGCCCAGGGGTGCCTGTAGAACTGCGATTGGTTTAGTGCCAAGGGGCCGCACAGCAGACCCCTACACCCAGTTACAGAGGTGGCTGCATGCTGTTCCCACAGGACCCCAAGTGCGGGAGACATTCCAGTGTGGGCCGGGGGCCATGGTGAAGACATGCTCCTGCAAAGGGTCACTGAAGCAGGATGCAATTAACCAGTGCCAGGGGCCATGCCAGCCCCTGCAGCACAAACTGCCTCCCCTCTGCTACTTCTCCTCAGGAGAATCAGATTCCAGAACCCTCTATCGCAGCCCTGCTGTGCTGTTGCCCCAAAGAGATGTCTCTCTAGCCAGTCACTGCATCTGCTTCTCTCTGACGCAGGCATCCTCTGCAGCAAGGAGGTCTCCAGCAGAGACCTCTTGGCTTCCCCCTAGCAAGGTTTCTGTTCAGTGCCATGAAACCACGCAGCAAAGTAGCCAACCGGGCCCTGAGCTATCAAGTAGACCCTGCTCCCACTTTGCCTCTTCTTTACTGCAAGATCCCCAGCTCACCTGCCACTCACTGCTCTCTGCCCTCCCCAAGTTCCTTGCTGTTCAGCTGTAGCTGGTGTTAGCTGAGCACCCCCTGTTTTTTCCCCATTGGTGCTTGGGCCCCTGAGCACACACGGAGGTCAGTGACTCTGAGCACTGTCACAAGAATTGACACTTGAAGCTCAGAGCACATACAAGGCAGGAGAGGAGCTGTCCCCTTCATCCGCCGCCACCATACCCAGCTAGAAAAAAAAATTGACCCCCTCAAAGAACTGCGGCTCTGCTGACTTCCACTGTGAAGCCATCACAGGGATTGGAGCATCCCACAAGGATCTGCCTCTCCTTCTCCCATATGATTCTTACATAAAATCATCACTGATAAAATTTGCGGGTGACACAAAAATTCGGGGGTGGTAAAAAATGAAGAGGACAGTTCACTGATACAGAGCGATCCGGTTTGCCTGGTAAGCCAATAATGTGTATCAATACGGCTAAGTGTAAATGTAGCCATCTAGGAAAAAAGAATGCAGGACGGGGGACTCTATCCTGGGAAGCAGAGACTCAGAAAGACTTAGAGGGTCATGCTGGATTTTTCAGCTGAACAGAGTTCCCAGTGCAATACCACAGCCAAGAGAACTAACGCAATCCTAGGAGGCATAAACAGGGGAATCTTGAATAGCAGAGAGGTTATTTTACCTCTGTATTTGCCCCTGGTGCAACTGCTGTTGGACTGCTGGTGTCTACAATTCAAGAAGGATGTTGATTAGAGCCACATGAATGAGTAAAAGATTAGAAAACCTGTTTCCCTGTGATAGACTCCTATGAGCTGCCTGGGCAAGTGCTACCCCAGGTGATGAATGCAGGACCCTGGTCTTGCAGGGTTCTTTCTTCCCTCCCTAGCCCATTATCCATCTGTAGGGTTCTGAATCTTATCGTGGTGGAGAAGCGGCTTTGCTCCAGGTAAAGGCCTCGCCTTCGCTCTCCTTGTAGCTTGCTTCTACTAGCCAGCTGTTCTCTTGACCTCTGTGATCCGTCATTCATACTAAAAAGGGGCTTCTCCAGCCCCAGTCTGTCTGTTTGGTGGGGTGGCAAATACAGGGATTAGAAACCAGATGGTCTGAGGTATTTTTAAAAATATGTTTGGGAAAACTCTGAGAAAAAGGAATGACCTAACAGAGTCTGATGTGCTATGACTGAGAGACTACTGCCAGGAAAAGCCTGTGTCTCCAAGTTAGGGATGTTACCTAGTTAACCAGTAAGCCCCACCCTTAATGTGTCAGGCTCACTGGTTACAGTTAACCAGTGTGGGCTAGAGTAGAGATTACTTGGTTAACTGGTTAAACTTAAAGCTAGATGAAAAGCACTTGCAGAAGAAGTTATGGAAGAGCAGCCATCCAGCCATCAGAGCAGCGCTCTCTCACTGATTCTTCTGGCTGTATCTCTTGATCTCCAACTGCCTGGGCTATTAGCATTTAAATCCGGTCTTAGGAATGGGCGAGCCGGGCGGTCACCAGGGGCTGCCACTTTCAAAGGGCCACCCACAGAGCTGGTTTTAGGGGTGGGCCACGACTGCATTTCAGTCCAATCTCCCAAATCCTTCCCCCAGGTTTCCCTGGTTGCTCCCCGACAAATTTTCACCGGCTTTTTGTCCAGTATTTTTTTTAAACCATCTGGCAACCCTTCGGGCAAGCCGGGCAGTCACCCAGGGCCGCCAATTGGTTAGGACCGGCTCTGCTAAATGTAGATGGGTTCCAGAATCAGGGTATGTCCTTATTTTTCAGAGTGTCTTTAGTGTGTTTGTTTCTTACTAATAAATGGTCTGTTTTAATATATGATAATCCTGGCTTTGATAAATCTGAATATCCAAGAGCAGGACAGATCAACTTTGCTGAAGGGGCACATCACAACATACTGATGCTGATTACATTGCAGGGCCATGCATATGAATTCAAGAGGGTCCCAGATTTTGTAGGTATCCATGGTCTGGAGTAGTAATTTTTGTGTGTGTGTAGGGGACTGACCCTTTCCTATACAAAACCTGAGCCATACAGTTGCACACTCACTCAACAATAATATTTTGCACACCTAAGGCATTTAATGTGAAGAGCTCAAAGCACTTAAGAAATATTAAGGCATTAACCAGTCCTCATGATTCTATTGGGGGGAAGAGCATTCTTAGCCCCATTTTACAGAAAGGAAAACCAAGAGGAAGCAATCCATCCATGTTCATACAATGTGCATTTGTAGAACTGGGAATAAAGCCTGCAAGTCCTAGCTGCCAGCTAGCTGCACGAAGCACTTGATCACAATCTATCTTTTCTGCAGCTCATTTCTCTTCCTGGAACTGTTAGTCATTCTGTCCCTTGGTGGGCAGATGAGAAATTCAACCGATTCTGTCCTGTGTGGAGGAAGTATCGTCCAGATGGAGAAAGTCAATTTTGGAGCCCATCAATGGGTCTTGTGCACACTGCATGCTCCAGCAAACTCTACTTTGCACAGGCGACTTCCAGGTCAAGTTCCAGTGGCCTGTCCTTCATCAGGAACAGATACTCAGACAGGCAAAACATCTTTTCACTGTGAGAAAAGCACACAGGAGTCAGGCAAATATTCAAACCAGAGACGAGAACCTGCATGGTGTCCAAAGGCAAGAGGGGAGTGAGGAAACAATTTTGCTGGTTGCCAACTCTTGCAGTCACTGGTGCATTGGCTAGGAAAATTTGAGATTTTGTGCTTATCTCAGAAGACTGCGTTGAGCAATATGTGCTTCTGCATGGTGCCAGGCCAGTACACAGAGAATTAGCATCACACTCTGATGCCTCAAAAGGCTCAGATTTGGCTTTGGCTGCACTTCCAAACATGCCGAGGGTATGGGTCAGATTGCACTATTTAGGCCCCAGGGGATCACTGTGGAAGGGAAAGTACTGAGTTTGAGCAAGGGATCTGTGCTCCCCTGTGTGTCCAGATAGTCCTTTCATGCTGATGTGGGGGGCAGAAGGTCATGACTCTGCCATCTCCATCTCCAGGGGGCTGTAGAAAGGAACAGTCCTCAGAAGAACTGTGGAGCAACAGTAGCACCTGCTCCCTGTGTGAGGGTCTGAGACTGCAGAGGCTTCTTAGTTCCTTCACCACTTGTGCACCTCGACAAAGGCCCAGCTCTGTCTAGCCCTGTATTGTCTTTGGGTGAGTTCTCTAGACCTAAAAGGAGGGGCATGTTTGTCTCCACCTGACTGAGAGGTGCAGATGGGCTGTCTGCTTAGGGTATATCGAGGACTCTGTTGGAATTGCAAGCTATCACTTTAAGAGTGGAGGATTTCCTGTCCTGCGTGTAGGTTAGGAGGCTCCATAGCAAAGCATACAACCTGTCAGACTGAAAAGAGCCATCTTAAAGAAATGGGGAGAGATGTGTGCTTTTTGCCTTAGGGAGCAGTCTGCTTTGTCTCTCTCTGTTTTGGGGCTCGTGTGTGATTGTTCGGAATTCCAACCAGTAAAGTAGTGCTACATTGCGCTCTTCAATTAGCAGTATTTCTGCTTTTCTCTAACTTCACTGTGTGTGTGCTAGGAACATAACACTGGTGGTTGGGAATGTTGCATTAGCTACCTCTAATATCATCAATTCACAGACACTTACCTTCCTTCCTCCCCCTTCCCACCCCCCCGCCTCCTCCTTCTGTTCTGCAATGTGATTTGTCCTTTTCATATTTGTTCTTTTTTTTAATTGTATCCTTTGGTATATATGGTTGTGACTACTTTCTTCCACTATTTGATCTGAGGAAGTGGGTCTGGCCCACGAAAGCTCATCATCTAATAAACCATCTTGTTAGTCTTTAAAGTGCTACATTGTCCTGCATTTTGCTTCAACTACCCCAGACTAACACGGCTACATTTCTAGCATTAGGGCGAGAATCTCATTCCCATCAGATTTGATGAGTTTGTTTTTGATTTCTCCTGCTCTGGAGATGCTAGCTACAGCTGGATGGTAACTAAAACTCAGTGAATAATGGAGCTTTGGGGTTGGGATTGAATTTAAAATAGGGCAGAGGGACTCCATTCCATTTGAAATGAAACAACTATTTTAAATTTTTGTCAACTTGAAAAAACTCCCAAAAAAAGTTTGAACCAAAATATTTGATGACCTAAATTTGTCCTATAACTTCAAACCCCCTGAAATGAATTTTTTGGTGGAAAAATGTAAAAAAAATTAAAACCATTTGCCCTGCTCTATTGGTTACTGTCACAGTCTCTGGCACAGTCTGGTGCCACACAAACAATGCCACCTGGCAGCAAAATGGCCACCTGAGCATCAGAAGCTCTTTTAGATACCAGAACAATCAAGGGTCTCTGCTCACTGGCGCTCAGTAGGTGCTTGCTTCTTCTCCAGATGAGACCCAAAGCGAGTGGGGATGGGCGGAGAAAGCAGATGAGGACTCAAGGCACAAGCCCCAATAGAAATGGCCTATGCAAGTTCCCTTTGGAAACAGCTCTTCACTGTGGTATGGAGCATCAGAAGCTCTTTTAGATACCAGAACAATCAAGGGTCTCTGCTCACTGGCGCTCAGTAGGTGCTTGCTTCTTCTCCAGATGAGACCCAAAGCGAGTGGGGATGGGCGGAGAAAGCAGATGAGGACTCAAGGCACAAGCCCCAATAGAAATGGCCTATGCAAGTTCCCTTTGGAAACAGCTCTTCACTGTGGTATGAAGCCTTCGTGGCAGCCCTGCCCCTCCTAGCAGCAGAGTCTAGCACAGCTAAATCTCACTCAGGGGTAAGTGGAACTGGGGACTTAGCCCTTGTGATTCTCTTACACACTAGGACTAGGTCTACACTATGGGCTTTTTTTTTTTTTTTTTTTTTGGAAAAAGCTCCACAAATTGCGCTCTGCAATTTGCAGAGCTTTTTCCGATTGCTTTTCCGGAAGAGGCTTTTCCGCCATCTGGCCAAGTCTAGACGGGCCCAAATGGCATAAAAGCCTCCTCTTTTGGTGGAGCCCTTATCCCTCATAGAATGAGATATACAGAAAGAGCGTGTTTGCTCGTCTGCAAAAAAAAGCGGAAGAGCAAACATGTTCCTTGGATGCGGCGGAGTTTTTCTGGGATACCTCCAGTATCCTGGAACCATCCCAGGGATAGTTTCCAGGGGCGTTTACCGCCTCCACAAGCAGTGGAGCTCATCAGTTAAGATCAGGGGGTGTCTCCCATGTAATTCTGTTTTTGACTCATCTCTGAGTGTGTGCATGCCAGGGTCAAATTGGCGGTAGAGGAGGGAGCAAATACAGGGGTCATTGTGGCACCTCAGGGCTTTCCCATCATCTCCATCTCCGCCGGTATAGTTTCCAGGGGCGTTTACCGCCTCCACAAGCAGTGGAGCTCATCAGTTAAGATCAGGGGGTGTCTCCCATGTAATTCTGTTTTTGACTCATCTCTGAGTGTGTGCATGCCAGGGTCAAATTGGCGGTAGAGGAGGGAGCAAATACAGGGGTCATTGTGGCACCTCAGGGCTTTCCCATCATCTCCATCTCCGCCGGTAGCCAGCAACAGCCCGAGAAGAGAAAGGAGAGACGCTCTAATGAACCCGCTCTGCTGCCGTGTGGCTCCAAGGGGAGTTGTGCTCTCACCAAGACAGCCAATAAAGCTCTTTGGCTGGAGTGAGCTCAAGGGATGGCTCCTGCTTACCGTTGGCTGACAGGCATTGCAGTCGTACAGAACTTGCCAGCGATGAGGGCCTCGTCGGTCTTCCAGAGATGCTTCTTTGGGAGATATTTCAGCATCACCACCTCCACCTGGCACAGTGGGGCTTGGTGAGCCAGCACTCCTCTGCCCAGAAGCTGCTGCTTCGGTCTGTAAGGCAGAGGGATGGATGTGAATGAGAACAAAGGACCAACCCGCAGTAGCAAGAGAGCCTACAAGGAGAGGTGGGGACCTTGAGTGGCCACTCAGGAGAGATTCAAATGCCGCTCCGCTGATCAGCAGAGCCCCCGAAGTGCCCACAATCAGCAGCATGTGTTTCAGCACATCTGCACATGCTTCAGTGCACACAAAACGTATTCTACCCATGAAGGGGAAAAAATTGGCAGGAGCCTTGGTGGGGACAAGCATTTGTCTACTGAAATATCGGAGCTGGCAGGGTTGGTAACAGGGAGCCCTCATAGAATCTGGGGGGGGTCTAAGTATCCTTCTGTGGCAATCGGACACTTCATGAGAGGTGGGAAGCTCTGATAGATCCCTCTCCTCCTCCAAAGGAGTCTCTCTGCCTTATATCCCCTTCCTTTCCAAAGGCAGGAGAATGTGTATGGGGGTGTGTGCAACTCTCTTCATATACAAGATAATTAAATCAGCTTCCCTGGATCAACAGATAGTCACTCCTCTGTCCCTCTGATTTGTTACCCTGACACTCCATCACACTCAGCCCTGAAGACTGCACAGGGGGCCAGGACTCGGAGCAGTAGGAAGTGGGCAAGGAGTGGGGTAGGGATGTTGCCTTCTCTGAAACATCAGGTGCTGGCCATTGCCAACAAGAGGGCAGTGGACGGTGTAGACTAATGAGAGGATCCAGTATGACAAAGCCTGTCTCATAAAGAGCAATGAAGCCTGTTAATCCCTACTGTGATGACTTTGATTTTTAGACGTGTTACATGGGACAGAGCATGGCTCACCGTGGCTGGTTTGTAGTTCTCACAAAATAAAACAAGAGACATGAATGGTAGGAAAATGGGAAGCAAACCACAAGAAATCCTTCTTTCTGCAGCATGTACTCAACATGTGTGACGCCTACAAAAGGGAAGAGAGTCACTGTATCTCCTAGAGGCATTGGCATGCACAGCAGATTTCATTAGGGTGTGCACCCAGGGAATTTTTTTTCTAAAGGAGAACATTTATTGAATACTCAATCATAAAGGGCATGCTATGAGTGAATGTGGGCTTGCTATACATTTCTACAAAATCTGTATTACGTAATTCTGCGCTTATTGCATAATACAACAATCCATACTTTAAAACTAAAAGAGCCTATCATGTGATTAAATTAAAATGCAAAGCCACTTTTTTTGGAGACATTAGGGTGTGCCTGGGCACACCTCCTGCGCATGCTTATGCATAGAGGGTTTGTTAATTTTATCACCAGCAATCCTCTCTTTGGCTGTGTCTAGACTGGCCAGTTTTTCCGGAAAATCAACCGTTTTTCCGGAAAAACTTGCCAGCTGTCTACACTGGCCGCTTGAATTTCTGCAAAAGCACTGACTTCCTACTGTCTGAAATCAGTGCTTTTTGCGGAAATACTATGCTGCTCCTGTTCGGGCAAAAGTCCCTTTTGCGCAAAACTTCTGCGCAAAAGGGCCAGTGTAGACAGCTCAGATTTGTTTTGCGCAAAAAAACCCCGATTGTGAAAATGGCGATCGGGGCTTTTTTGCGGAAAAGCGCGTCTAGGTTGGCCACGGACACTTTTCCGCAAAAAATGCTTTTGTGGAAAAGCGTCCGTGCCAATCTAGACGCTCTGTTCCGAAAATGCTTTTAACGGAAAACTTTTCCATTAAAAGCATTTCCGGAAAATCATGCCAGTCTAGACGTAGCCTGAGTGTGTAATTCTGGTTGACTTTAATGGGAGTGCTGTGTGCAGAGGCCCTGCAGCACTGAGTGTATTAGGGCCAAGCATTTCAGAGCTGGGTGTCTACGATTAGAGTCTCCTTCCTCAACTCAAGTACCACCTGGTGGATGTAATTAAATTACCATAATGGGGTTTATGTCAAATTGTTATGATTGAATCACCAAGGTTTCGAACAGGGATGAGGAATCTTTTGGGGGTCGGAGGCCACTGACCCACAGAAAAATCAGTCAGGTGCCACACACACACACATGAGAAGCAGAAAAACCACCCAGCTCTGTGGTCCCCAACTGAGATGCAGGAAAAAAAAATAAGACACCTCCCTCATACAACTGTGGGCATCAGGATCAGGGTTTATCCCCTGAGCTGGATTAACTCTTCTGGGAGCCCAGAGCTAGTAGATTTTGTGGGGCCCCCGTAGGATCTTGGATGGGGCCAAAATGAGGGGCTCAGTCTATGGGAGGGAGCTGGGGTGGGGGTATGGAGTCTGGGCAGGAGGTGAGCTGGGAGTGGGGGTGCAGGGTTTTGGTGGGATGTAGGGTGAAAAAGCGGGGTAGGGCTGTGGGGTCTGGGTGGGAGGTAGAGTGCAGGAGTGAGGTGGGGTGTCTGGGAGGGAGGGGGCAGAGGATTGGGGTGCTTATCTGGTGCAGCTCCTGGGGGGGCACAGATGGCTTCATGCCACCCTGCACTTATAGGCACCCCTTCCCTCCGCCACCCCTATTGGCTGCAATTCCCAGTGAATAGGAGCAAAGGAGGTGGAGCCTGCAAGCAAGCACTTTCCTGCACTGCCATTTCCCTGGCTGGGGGGAGGGAGAACAGCAGTGCACAGAGCCACTTCCTCTCCCATGGAGGGGCTTTAGCAACAGCTCCCTGCTACTTTCCCCACAGAGGGAAGCCGGGGCTCATGCTTCAGCACTGCAGGGAGTGCTGAGGCTGAGATTCTCACCATGGGGATGGGAGGGCCAGCGCCAGCTCCCACCACTGCAGGGGTGGGGGCGGAACTTTCCTGGGCTGAACTTGTCTCTAGTTCAGAGGTTTGATTTGTGCCTGGTCATGCTCCACAAAGTTTGGCTGCTTATCTGTATTCATTGAAACAGCTTTGGTCTGCCATGCGAGGCTAGAAAGCAAAGCTGTACAGCGCTTCTTGTTGCTGGCCAGCAAAATCCCACGGAAACAGCCCTTTCCGGAGTGACTCAACCTACTTTCCTGGGCTGAACTTGTCTCTAGTTCAGAGGTTTGATTTGTGCCTGGTCATGCTCCACAAAGTTTGGCTGCTTATCTGTATTCATTGAAACAGCTTTGGTCTGCCATGCGAGGCTAGAAAGCAAAGCTGTACAGCGCTTCTTGTTGCTGGCCAGCAAAATCCCACGGAAACAGCCCTTTCCGGAGTGACTCAACCTGCTGTTCTTGTCACAGGCGCAGAAACCGCACACTTCAAAGGTCTGGACCACACTGTGCTGAGTGGAGTTGCTGCTCATCTCCACTGCAAAGGGCCGCTTGGGGGCTAGTGCTGCTCCGACATGATCCCCTGCACACATCCCACGGCATGCTCTGCTCTCTTCCTCCTTGCCCCACCTTGCCTGGGGGCTGGAGACTGAGGGAAGGGGCGAAGGAGCTGTCGCAGCCTGGCTCAATGCCTGCTGAGCTCTCTGTTTTGCTGGGGAAACCACAGAGGAGTGAGGTCATGGGGCAGGGATGGGCCAGAGAATCTGGCCCTTTAATTCAGACACAAATGCAATTTGGGGGAAGATGGCTGGTTCCAGATGGATCTCACTGTCCTGAACCTGCCTCTGTCCCCAGCCTCACTAGATTCTCCTCTCCCAGCTTCACTGCTGAGTAACTGCCCTGACAGTGGACTAGTTAACCCCAGGCCTGCTGCACTGAAATGCTGCTGTTGCCACAGCCATTTCCAGCTCACATCTCTGGGGCATCAGGACGGCTGCCTGAGGGGTCAGGAATGTCTGACCAGCCCCTGGAGGGGAGGCTGGTGTTTGCTGGATGTTGCTCTCTATGCCAGCCATTAGGTTCTAACTACTCAGTTACGTTAGCAGGGACTGCCCTTGGTCACTTGTGCTACAGCCATGCATGTACGTGGCTTAGACAGACATCCTTGTACCTGCAGCAATGGAGTAAAGACTGGCCAGAGAGGCACCTTGTCACTCACATGGTGATCTTCACGCTGGCCGTGGAGTTGCTGCTGCGGAAGGTGATCTCAAGTCTGGTGATCACGCTTCTCTCCTGCTGCAAGTGAAACTCCACCAGGCTGTGGTACACTGGGGAACAGACAGCACACGCCAGCATGAGGGCACCAGTCCCTGTCTGGATCAGGCCTTCCACAGTAACCCTCCCCTTGTACCAATGGGAGAGCTGTCCGTCACCCCCTCCCCGCACTGAGCTCCCCGCACTGCATGCAGAAGATTAAGCAGAGCTTTGACGCAACAAGGGAACAGGTTGCATGGTCTGTTGGATACGCGTTTCTATGCTGATGGGATTTCATTCCTCCGCACTGTGTTCTGAGAGTGAGTGAGGCAGACACAGCCAGAGCCAGAGAGGAAGGACGGTGGCACAGAGAAAAAGAAGGAAAGAATCACAGGACCCTTGTCTCTTCTCAAACTGGTATAAGTCAGGAGTAACTCCACTGAGGCCCGTGGAGTCACATGGTGTAACACTGGTGGAAGTGAGAGCAGGATCAGGCCCATTATCCTCTGCAGTTGCCAGGACGATGGCATGAAATGAGGCTGAGGGCCAGACCTCAAGGGTCAGGTTCTGCGCTCAGGTACACCCGCCAGAAATGGAGCATCTCCCCAGAAGCCATGGGGCATGGAAGCGGATGCAGAAGCTGGCCCCTAGTTCAGAAGAGGACAGTGGCGCGGGTTAGCCCAGCGTTTGTAACAGCAATGCGCTTCTGCTGCTGGACAGAGCAGCTCCCTCCCCCCACAACATACAGCCACTGAAGGTGGCCCAGAGACAGTGAGATACCCAGAGGGGTGCAGGTGCTGGGTACGACCATGCCTGTTGTCCCTCGCTGAGAAACATGCCGCGTTTCTGCAACAGGCACTAAGGAGTTTACAGAAGCTACCATGAAGCTAGACATCCCCTCAATCCATTTCTCAAAGCCCCCGCTGTTTCCATTGGGAGCTGAGGAAGGAATGGCACATTCCAGGCCATGGCTCTCCTCACAGAGTCCCCACCAGCCTGGCTTCCTCCTCGCTCTGCTACTTACTGCAGTACGGGGCTGAGGAGCCAGTCATCAGGTAAACCTTCACCTCCTTGGGGAGCGTTTCCATGCTGACTCCACCACGCTCCAACAGCCCTGGGAGAAGAAATGAAGCCGAGGTGGAGGGGTAAAGGCCCTGAGGGACAGGTGGCAGGAACACCCGATTCAGCTCTCACCTATCCCTCTATTTTGATGAGGCTCAAAACAATCTTTTTACAGCCAGTGTCAGTGAGATCAGAAACGGGCTTGCAGTGTCTGCGTCCCAGCATCTCACCACCACCTGTGATCACCAAGGAAGCCAGCAGTAAGGAGGGTCTCCTGGCATCCAGGCACGCTCCATGAGGACACCACTGTAGCTGCTGGGCCCGATTCCCCACTGCCCTGCGGTCTGTGCCCTTCTTTGCACCTGTCCAAAGTGAGTGTATAAAAGCTACCCAGGCAAGGTGGTAGGCTTTCACCCTCACTTTGTGCAGGGTGGCTGTGCTAGGGGGTGGCCTTGTGACTGCAGGGAGGGTCTCCTGGCATCCAGGCACGCTCCATGAGGACACCACTGTAGCTGCTGGGCCCGATTCCCCACTGCCCTGCGGTCTGTGCCCTTCTTTGCACCTGTCCAAAGTGAGTGTATAAAAGCTACCCAGGCAAGGTGGTAGGCTTTCACCCTCACTTTGTGCAGGGTGGCTGTGCTAGGGGGTGGCCTTGTGACTGCAG